ATAAACTGAAACAATACGACAGACCAGGCAAGGTCATAAAAACCCAAGGAAAATAAAACAGCAGAGCAAAACAAGGAACAAACCGGGATGACTTGAGAAACCAAAAGACAGGGGGAACACAAGGAAAATCCAGTATCAGACAGGAAAGATAAGGAAGTACTTAAACTTCTATCAAATAAATGATATTTCTAAGGGGCCGCTGTCTATAAGGAACTGACCTGAGAACTGACACAGAGACAATGCCCCCTCCTCCAACACACACGAACGCGCACATGACCAATGAGGGCACGAGATAAGTTTGTGCACAGATGGAGGGCTGACAGGCAGGTAGGCCATCCACTTATTTTAGCGGGCCGGCTCAGATGATTGGTCGTGCTTTTTACAGCACCACGGCTACAACAGATGAAATTATTGTATGTAATTATTGTCGAAGCATTTCGGATATTCATTGCTATCGGGATGTTAAGAGCATTCCATGGAATATAACAAAAAGTGTATCTGAAGCGAATTACCTACCCCACCTTTAAATTAAAACAAAACTGGAAATTCTCAAAATGTAGGGATTATATTCCTGCTTCAGGTCTCATTTCAACTAAAAGAACACTTGTGCATAACAAATCAATAAAAAAAGATTTGAACGTGGTTAAAACATACCAAGGAAAGACTGAGCCACTGCAAGTAACGCCTGAGGAGGCCATGGCAGGAACCAGTCTATGACAGTATTATTCATCAGTCCTGAGGAAAAAAGTACAGACAGTTAGAGGAAAAATAAGAAAGTGTAATATAATCATCTGAATCCTGACACGGCATTTCACCTGGGAAGTTCCTACAGCGAGTCCTAAGGGTGTCTCCCACTGGTGACATGCCTAAAACAATGTGTAGATTGTTGGCACTCTTGTTGACAAAATATTGCCACACACTCTCTTTAGAAGGACCTGCTCCCATTGTAAGAGCCTCATCACGAAGCTGGTTGAGTACGCCCTCCTTCTCATCATCAGGGAACAATGCGGGAACAATGCCTGTAAAGAGAGAGCATGATCAGTATTACAGCTGTTGCTTTGAAGAAAAACAAATACTAATAGTATAATACTAGTAATGGTGTGAGCCAGGAGGTAACAATGATAACTAACCTGAGGTGAGCATGTTGTTAATGAGTTCCAAGAAGCCTTCCTCTGCAACATGGGCCTCAGTAAAGAGGAACACTGTCTTCTGATTTTCGATGCCAAGCTTCAGGTACAGAGCTTTCAGGTCATCACGGAAGTTTGTCTCACCGTATCCTCTGCTGAGTGTTATCTCAAACACCTGGGAAAAGCAGATTCCATCACTAGATGCTAAAGTTTACCGTCCTTTATTTTTCTCTAATGTTTTACAACACGTGGGCCCGGGGGCCAAATCAGGCCCTTGGTGGATATAATTTCGGCCCGCAGGTTAATTTCTAATTACTATTAGATCTGGCCCACCGGTATATTGCACGCACACCTTCACTCAATCCTGAGGGTTTCGTCAGCTCAGAGCCTGAGCCCAAACATTGATGAACTTGCACCCAAGATGAGACGCCAAGTATCTGGCTTGAACTAGCATCACAGAGCAGCACACTGAGTTTAATGGATGTTTCCTTCTGTGCTTTTTTTCTTGAGACAACAGGGCATGTTTGGTTTGTTCTTTGAGGGAAATAGTTTTTTTGAAGCTGTTGTTGGCCTGTGGAAAAATGTAATCATAAGAAATGACTCTGCAGATAAGCTGCAGATAGAGCCAAAGAAATGAATGCAACTGATTATTTAATGTTTAATGTTGTTTTTATAGGCAATCATTTAAGCTTTGTTAGTTCCAGGTTTAATATGTGCAATAAGTTCATTTCAATACGTTTTGCAATAAACATTGAACCAGTCCGGCCCTCGACTAGTACCCATTTTTTTATTTTGGCCCACTGTGTATTTGAGTTTGACACCCCTGTTTACAACATAGAAAAAAAGAGTACAAACCCGGACCTAAGACCATACATCTCTA